GGAATGCAGACCTAGGCTCAAGTCAGGTAAGACTGGACACCTGAGGTGTTTGTGGAAGGGTATGGAATCCAAATTGCTCCTCTCTTTCTCTCCTCTGACAGCAAAGAGACATTAGAATGATTGTTCTGCTGTCTAGGGAGTTATGTAGGTGGGCTGAACACATTTGGGTATTTAGAGGAAATTATTTTGTGGGATTTAAGGTAATTACAGAACAATGAATCTGCTTTCTTAGCAGTAATTTGTTGGGGTTTTTTTCCTCACCAGTGGTCAAAATTTCTTGTTGATATAATGTTATTGCAAAACCAGTGTTGAACTGGATCCTACTTATGCACTGTTTTGTTCACTGTTCCTATTAACGGCCTCATTTCTATGTGCTTGCAGAAGTCAACAGGATGAGCTTAAGCCTTGCAAAGCAAGAGATGAGATGAAAAAGGGCTGAAAGTTTTTACAACCTTTTTTTCTACTAGCCCAAGGATGGAGGAAAGGTGCCTGATTCAGCCTTAGCTACATTTGAAATCAGCTCTGGTGACTGTTGGTCAGCATTCATAGATTTCTGTCTTGGCTTTTTTAGTTCAGATGTAACAGTGCTATATTTTTTCCTCAATTTGATAGTTGCATTTAGTTTTTCTGTCACTGAAAATTCTTAAAGAAATGTCAAGATTTCTGTCCATTTTCTGTGATTTTCCTCTTAACTTTTAAACTGTTTTGACTCCTAAAAGATTCTGGTTTAAATAAAGCTCTGCTCACCAAATAGCCCCTAACATAATATGCTATTTTAAAGATGTGAACATCTGTATTTCATATCAAAGTCCCCACCCCACAATCCAATATCTAGCTGTATTTCTGAAACATGACATAGTAGAAGACCGTGGCAAAATCAAATTAGAACTGATAAAAGGCACATGATAGGATCTATGTAGGCACACTGCATGTTCTCTATCCATGGATCTTCTCTCCTTTGCCACTTGAGACTCCTCTGATGGCAGAAAGCAGAAACCTTCTAGAATTTCTTTACTTGCTCTGAGCATCTGAAAACTTTGGGCTGTATTAACTGTGGCTTTCAACTATGCAGGTGACACTCATTTGTAGCTGTAAGCAATCAGAAATGCAAGAGCAGGGACATTTCTCTTTATTTTCATAATGCATGTCAAACATAAACTGAACATGAAATGTTAGAAATCATGAGAGTACACATACATTCCTAATAGCCATATATATTTATGAAGCAATTAAAGTATATGCAAGGAACAGAGACATTCCTGCTTTGCAGTAAAGACATAACATTGGAATTTTTAATGTTTTTTTTTAAATTTAATGCACAGATAGAACATTGCATTAATTGAATTTAAAGTGAATATTGTACATACTATAATGGTATCCTCAAGGGACTTTTACTAGGTAAAGGTTCTCTGCTGACAGATATCAGAGCCTTGATTGTTCTCCTTCCTAAAACTTGTTATTATTTTTTTTTTAGAAATTAGAAACCTCAAAATCAATTTTTGAATAACCTTTCAGAGGAATCTGATTTGCATAAAAAGGAAATATTGACTTTGCCAGTTCCTATTTTTTCCCACTTCTCCATTACAGACTTGTTTATATAGCTTCTTAATGCAGAATTGTGATAATAGGATATACATGATTTTTGTTCTTGAGTGTGTTTATTATTTATAACCATGCAAACATTAGAAATGTATAGAAAACTACTGAATGCCATCTGAGAGATACAGGTTCCCAGATGAAACATCAAAAAACATCTTGGATGCAAATGTGAAAGAATGGATAATAATCCAGTTGTTTTGCTTCAGCACAAACAAAATAGGCATATGATGTTTCAGGTCTGGATATGATTTCATTTAGACTGAATTTTCCATCTTCCTGTTGACTATCAGTCAAGGGCCACTGTAACTTCAGGGTTTCAGGGTATTTTGCCAGGGAGAGTCACCAGTTGCAAGTACTGCATATGCCAGAAGCAGAAAGGGTCCGACCTGTTTCAGAGGAATTTAGGCCTTTCTGTTCCAAATGTAAATGGCAGCTGGCTTGCTACCCACAGAGAGAGATGAAAACATATGTCTTTCTAGGGCATGTATCCTGTCATTAGTTATTTAGCAGATTGGACTTCTGGTAACTATTTGCCTACAAATCACTATAGCCTGAGACTTCACTGAATCCTTTTGTCTGAAAAGAGAGAACATCTTTTCCTTGAACTGTATCAGATCAGAATATACAATTCATGTATTTGTGTAATGATTCCCAAAGAGCAAGACAGATCCAGACATAATTGTTGAGGAGTATGCTGCAGATGAGACATGGAGGCTATGTGAATAAGTGCATTGAGACCCGTGATGCTCCAGACAGGGTGTATATATAAGTATACACGTATATATACACACACCACACTCAAAATATCTTTGAAGTGGCAGTATCTCCAGTGTGTGCAACGGACAATGAAAAAAGGCAGTTTTCGGATCAGAAAGGGAGCTCATTTGTCAAGGCGCAGATTTCAAGACAGGCTGGAATACTTGTCTTGGAAGTAGCTCTTCTGATGGCTCATTTTTGTTGGAAGGGACCTCTGGAAGTCACCTAGTACGACCCTCTCCCCAAAGAAGGGCTAACATGAACTTTAGATCAGGTTGCTGAGCTCCATGTCCAGTTCAGTTTTGAGAATCTCCAAAAGTGGCCTAATACAGTTCCTTCTGTCACTTCAGAGCATGGCTTATTCCTGGTACAGCCACTGAATAGGTGTAGCTACTCATCTACTTGCTTCCATGTTCCGCCTATTTCTGTGACACACATACACACCTAAATTATGTGCAGCCCTCTTTTCTATGTGAATCATCTGGGTTTAATCCAAAAACTTTTGTGGTGGTTGTACTTACATTGAGTCTGAACTTAACAGTGTCTCCCTTCTCTGTTTATCTTGGGCCAAACCTTCAGACAAATAACAGTATTCTGTTGGGGCAGCAGCATTATTCTCCATCTTCTGACTTGTTCCTTCACAGAATCATTCAGGTTGGAAAAGACCCTTGGGATCATCGAGTCCAACCATCAGCCCTACTCTACAAAATTCTCCCCTACATCATATCCCCCAGCATCTCATCTAAACGACCCTTAAACACATCCAGGGGTGGTGACTCCAGCACCTCCTTGGGCAGCCTATTCCACTGGCTGACCACTCTTTCTGTGAAAAATACTTTCCTAATGTCCAGTCTAAACCTCCCCTGTTGCAGTTTAAAGCCATTCCCTCTTGTTCTGTCACTAATTACCTGTGAGAAGAGAGCAGCACCAACCTCTCTACAATGTCCTTTCAGGTAGTTGCAGAGAGTGATGAGGTTTCCTCTCAGCCTTCTCTTCCTCAAACTAAACAGTCCCAGCTCCTTCAATTGCTCCTCATAGGATTTATTCTCCAGGCCCTTCACCAGCTTCGTTGCCCTCCTCTGCACTTGCTTCAGCACCTCGATATCTCTCTTGTGTTGAGGTACCCAAAACTGGACACAATACTCAAGGTGTGAGTGTGCTTCCTTCTAGCACTAGATGCTTTCCTGGGATTTCAGGTGTTCTTAACTGCTAATAAAATAAAACTGTAAACAAATATTAATGTGATTTAGGAAAATATATTTTCTTCCACCTCTAAAGACACTTTTCATACACGCTTTGAATGCCTCAATCTTTTGAAGGCGGTAGTGTTAGAATATGGAGGAATTATTCATTTCTGAATTGTACTATGATTATGTGAGTTAGTTCTAATCTCAGTGTAAGCACTTTGATCTTTTAATTGTTCAGCATAAAGGCCATTGCAAATAGTTAGCAAATAACAAATATCTGCCATATACTGCAGCAAGAGTGAAGTTTCCCAGATTAGAATTCATCAACATAACGATATAGAACATCACTGATTATAGCTGAAATACTCCCCACCTCCTGTTCCTAGGTCAGGCTGTTCCTGACCTTCATGTGGGTCCACAGATGAGAGAAATTATTTAGCACTTCCTCTTCATTCCCCACATGTAGTCCACAGCAGAGCCCAGCACAACAGAAGTGCCTGGCTAGAATCCCTTCCAGTGTTAACAGGAGTTTCATTGTTGACTTCAAATGAGCTTGGACTTCATCTCCATTATTTCTTCCCCTCTAATAATATTGTCAAAGTACCTTCTCACTATGCCCTGTTTTCTTCCATTCTAATCCTGCATTGGTGTTTCCCTGGATGTGCTCTACATTTAGCGTCAGAACTTCCAGCAAGGAGGGTTTTGAAGATCTTCAATGCTTACCAGAGATTTCTGAGTGCATGGCAGTACAGGTAGAGCTGCTGTGTACAACATGCCTACAAACGTACACATGGTAGGTTTGATGCTTTGGAAATTCATGTATGGTCAGTAAATCCCGCATGTTAAAAAAGTTGCTATATGTAAAACAGCAGTAAAAGTGATGTTCTCAATCCCTTTGGGACCCTTCGGACAGTATATTGGTAACAGCCCCTAAGCAATAACATGCTGCTCCGCACAAACAAGCACACGAAGTCTCCTGCCCAGCACCACAAGAAGCCGTAAAAACCTCAAGACAGACAGTGCTCTAAAGGCACCTTTTTAGAAAGATTATCCATTTCCCCGTCGGTGCTTCAGTTTACGGAAACCCAGTTAGCCAGCAAGATTCTGTTTTTCTCACGCTCCGATTCACGAGCAAGCTTTGAATCCTGTTAACAACAGATACAGACATCACAGTCAGAAGAATCATTTATTGGAGCTCAAACAATGCCTCGTTAGAGTTTTGGAGCCTGGGCGTCCCCTCCGGCTCTTCCTTCCCACCCCAGGGCAGAGGCTGCGCCGCCCGCCCCGGTCCCGGCCGCCTCCCCGCGTTCCTCTCCCCGGCGGTCGTTGGAGCAACCTGCTCGCAAGTGGGGGAGGAGTGATGGGGGACGGGGGGAGCAACCCAAATCCCGGTTTCCCAAAAGTAGGTCTCTGCTACTTCTGCAGTCCTCGCTCTCAGGAGAAACCCGGTCGCTCGAGCGGGGGTTTTGTTTGAGACTTGGGTTCACCCCAGAGAGAAGGGGGTGTGGGGGATGTCCTGCTCCCTCAGCGCGCGTTTGGCTAATTTTCTTGGAAAACAAACCACTGACCCACATGCAACCCTGACAGGGTGACAAAGGGGATGAAAAAAAAAGAACCATCACCACAACGACAACAACAAAAAGAGACAGCCCTCCTCCCAGCTATCACCACTTTATCACCTGCATGTGCCTGGAAGGAGGCTCTTCCCTCCGCTGAGGGAAAAAAAGCTTAGGAAAGCAAAGTTTGAACAGCGAATTCCTGTTATTTCAAAACGCCCCATGTGACAGGATATTTCCTTATCATTTCGAGCCCAGAGCTTTTCCCTGATCCACCAGCCCTTCACAAGTGCGGAGGACCTGCCCGGCGGGAAGCCCTCTCTCTCCTCAGCGCCGGGGCGCCTCGGGCGAAGGCGCGGCGATGGCTCCCGCCCTGCTCCTGCTTCTCCTCGTACTTCCCCTCCGGGTTTTTCCTCTGCTGGGTAAGTGTCCGCAGGGGCTGGGGGGGTTAAGACATAACGAGAAAAGAGCAGGGTCGCGGCGGGCACCGAGCCTAGCCTGACCTGAGGCTTGAGGACGGGGTGGGGTGGTGGTGATGGAGGGGGACGGACGGACCGACAGACCGGTCGTGCAGGTGGAGAAGCCCGCGGCCATTTTAACCCCCTCAGTGCTGCCTGAGGGGAGCCTCGATGCGGCGGGGTGCTACCGCCTCCCCTCGGGCCCTCCTTCAGCCTCCCACCCCAACTGCCTCCCCCTCCTTGCCCGCACCCTGAAGTGCCGGGTGGGCGAAGCTGCCCAACGAGGCGGCCTTTTGGGTGCCCGTGGCGCTGTGGGTGCCAAACAGGGCCGTCATGGGCAGTGCCTCAGTTTCCCCCATCATTCTGGGCACTCGGTCCCTGATCAGTTTAACACCATCACCCAGCTTTCCCTCAGATAACTCCTCACCGCCGAGGTTTGGAGAAGGGCCTGGTGTGGGGGGTCCCTATGGTCTGTGATGGGCCCCGGGGACCTGTTTTTGACAGATAGCTTTCATGGGGGGATGTCAAGGTAGCTGGGGTATTGACAGGGATTAGAGCTGTGAAAACAGGTGAAAGCTGTGTTTCTTTGTGACACCTGAAGCTTGCACATGCTTGCTCTGAGGATTACAGTGATTACAACTATTTTTCGGTGAAAGTTTTGCATCTGCCCTTCCTAAAAGCCTCTCAGCATCCTCCACTCTCCTATTTGAGGTCTAGTGAAGCAAAACTTCATAACACTGCCTTGTAACATTTCTTGCTTTGTGTAATTAGCAGCAATCATTGTAGGCCATCTGGTAAGTGAGAACCTGTGTGGAGAAGACAGTCAGCCTACCTGCGTGCTGCCTCTTGCTCCCCCCTCTCTTGCCTCTGGCTTTTGGCATGCTCTCCATTAGTGTTTGACACTGGTAGCACTTCACTGGCTTCATGAGTTACTTCTTGATTTATATTTGCATAATCTGTGATAGTTTGTAAATTCTGGAAAGTATGAAGCTATCATGGCATACTGGAAGTCACTACTGTGGAAAAGATAATTGACCACTGAGATTTTACAGTATTTGGCACAATTCTTTAGATATAAACTGAGGCCAGAGATAGGCAAATAGTCACAGTGTGGTGAATGAAGAAAAATGAAAGCCTGTGAGAAAAATTCCATTCGCATCTGCTTGGGACATTTGAGGGAAAAGATGCTAGATCTCCCTGAATAGGTTATAGCAGTGAAGTAAGTTGGTTCCTATGCCTGGCATGCTCCTATACATTTTTAAGGAACCTCCTTGCAGGAGTCATTTTCAAAATATAGATTACTCTGTTAGAAAGTGGTGTGATTGAAAGTACCAAGACTGTGGTACTCATGATCATGCTGTGGTGGACCTTTAAGTGTACCACCTACAGCTTATCTATAGTGAAGAATGGCACCCTGTTATGGGAGCTCTATAACAAATGTTGCTACAAAACCGTGAAACACAGTTAATGGTTATATGAGTAATTCTGCTCAACCCATTTTACAGATACAACTCATCATGTTGACAGGAGTGCTATCAGGTGTTTACAGAGAAGAGCTGGCAAGTCATAGAAAGTGTTGCACAAATACCTGTCTTGTTTCATATTCTTCTATACTATCTAATAACTCACATGGAAAGTGTTGTATAGGAATCCTCTTTGGTGTCCAAGCAGGCAGAAAAAATACAGAAATAAAGCTGTAAACTAGAGCAATACAGGACCATGCCACAAGTCTGCGGTATGGTCATGGATGAGACAGGAGCAACTCTGAGGGGAAGGAAATCCTGCAACTACAGTCTCAGCCACAGTTGCTCCTGCATCCTGCCACCTCCTGCACCGTTCTCCTTTTTTGGTGCCATCTCATTTTCAATGCCTGCTTGGCTGTGTTGGTTCTATAGCTGCTTACCTAGGTATTATTCCCTGTCAGAGTCCCGTGTGTGCTTGGGCCCTTGTATAAGCAGTTGTGTTGTGTTTAGACACTAACACTTTGTAAAGGTACAGTCAGATTAGCACGGGGCCAAAGATTTGTCTTTTTTTTTTTTTTTCCTCTCCTCTCCACTGGCCAGACCTCTTTGTTCAGCTTTCTAATCTTGTTTCTGAAGCCAAAACTCCATACCCTTTCAGGCTTGGGTGTAACAATCCAGGCTTTTGACTTTGGGGTACCTTTTTCACATGTACATCATCCTCTTTTTAACAGTATAAACTGCATAAAATAAAGAATGTTATTTTAGGTCACAAATACAATTTTAACAGTTTGAAAGATCAAGCAGTGTTTTCTACACATATGAAAATGTCTGACATCTCTTTTACCCAGAAATTTAAATTTAGATTTCAGGAGAAAGAATGTTGCAAGCATTGCATATATCAGTTTACAATAACATTATGCTAAATGGTAATAGAAAAGCAGAATAAAAAAGTTATCACGAGCAGTGATAATTATACATTTCCTTGTATTGTCTGTGAGTAAAACAGATTGGCAGAAGGCAACAATTTCTGTCTCTAGTACTCATCAGTTTTACACTACTTCCCAGTGAGTTGGAAGTCAAAGGACAGGAGAAGGAAACTGAGCCATGGATGAGATAAATCTAGGTCAGCTCTTTCTCTGAGAGAGAGGTTATTTGTTCCCAGGTTGTTCTTCTGCAAAAAAGTATGATCGTTTCCATGTTGGAGCCTCAGCAGAGAAGGGAAAATCTTCTGTGGTTAACCTGTATTCCCCTTAAATATTTCTCTGTTATAGAATTTGTTAAATTTGTTAATCTTACACTAAAATAAATAATGTTTTCATTAGTTTCAGTCCCCAGAGTCACATAAATTAGTATTTATCTTTCCTAGCTTGTAGTCCAGTTAAAATACAGTTTTAGGACCTTGTGTATCCTGTTATGTTATGAAATTCAGTATCAGAGAGAACTATTAAGTTACTGTGCTAAAATGTATCTCAAGGGAATAAGAGAGGAGAAATTCTCAGTCTTTGGGCAAGACCGGCTAAAAACTATTCTAGCGGTTACAGTTTTGAAATAAACCTTGAATACGTGAAAAAGCATGCTGTGAAGCACTATTTACTGAGAGGGATAAATAACTTTGGGAGCTATGAAGAGCCTGGTGGATCTTCATAAGTCATTAAGAGGCATACCTGATGATGGCAAATCCCACTGTTGTCAGTATTTCATTCATTCATTCATTCATTCATTCATTCATTCATTCATTCATTCATTCATAATGGAGAAAGGTAAGAAAGGAGAAAGAAATCACTGATGACTGAAGTTGAGTGAAAAATGAATATGCTATTGTAGCCCTACAAGTAGCTTGTGTATAAAGCTTAAAAAAATATCCTTCCCCCAGGTAAGACTTTAAGGATTTTAGCAGAGTTTATGGGAACAGAACTCCCCACCGTGGGGAAACGAAGCCTGAAGAACTTAGAACCTGTTGTCATCTCCTCATGCCTGGGAGCCCAAATCAAGCCAGTGCTGCTGGAGTGCTCAGTGTCAGGTTCAGCAGTGTACACTGTGAGATGTGCATGCTCCCTTTTTTGGCTAACTCCCATGGGTGCAGCTTGAAATGATACCATGAGTGTATTTTTCCTCTTCAGTTTAACCCACGCTTTAGATCTACAGGAGACACTAGATCTGCATCTCTGCTGCCTTGCACTTTTGAGTGTAGATGCTTCCACTGACACAAAATAGTTGAAATGAAACATCTGAACTAGTTGCATTCTACAGTCATTTTAGCAGGTATAGGCCACAGGAGTAGTGCACCTTCTTTTGCTGAACAGGTGATGAGATTTTAACCCCAAGAGTAGTGTCTGGATTCATCTTTTATTTGGATAATAGGTAAGATTACTTCAAATGATTCCAGTGGTTTTTGTCTTGCAGATACCAGCATCTTCTTAATATATAATGAAGATCACAAGCGTTGTGTACTGGCTCAAAGTTCTAATTCAGTGACTACTGCTCCTTGTGTTCAAGAAAATGAGTCACAAAAATTCAGGTGGGTCTCAGATCACCAGCTTATGAGCATAGCATTCAAATTGTGCTTGGGAGTGCCTTCGAAGAAAGACTGGGTTCCGGTCACTCTGTATCCTTGTGACAAGGCTAGTGAACTTCAACGATGGGAATGCAGAAATGAGACTCTCTTTGCAATCCAAGGGGAAGATTTGTTTTTCAACTATGGAAACAGACAGGAAAGGAATATTATGCTGTACAAGGGATCTGGTTTTTGGAGTAGGTGGAAAGTCTACGGAACCACAGACGATCTGTGTTCTCGAGGCTATGAAGGTAAAGTTCTGTAAATTAATTTCTGTATTTCAAACTCATTTCTATATGTATCTAATTGAAATATTTAAAGTATAGGAGAGTTTCCTTCTCCTCTTTAATGATCAGTGAGTGTGATTTCTGGTGAAAACAGCAATACCTGAGTGTGTGTTTTATGTTTTCTGAGGGCTTCATTTTGCTTTTTAGTCAAAGTTGTTGAAATTGTGATAGATAGTTAACTATGCATGGTAGTGATTCATTTGAAGAGGGGAAAAAAGCATATGGTTATTCAGAATGTCTGTAACTATTATACAACAGTTAATGATAACTTTTACTATTTACATGTGTACAGAAAGAGGTAGTGTAAGTGCTACATTAGTCTGTTGATTATGGTTGGGTTTTTTTGTTTGTTCGTTTGTTTTTTCTTTATTGGGAAGCAAATATTATTTATGCTGTAAGGATTTAGTTAACTCTTGATATCTTTAGCTCCAGTATATTGAAGATTACCTTCCTAGGTGTTTGAAGTAAGTCTCAAGAGTTGGTGCTTATATGCTAGACAAAGAAATAAGATATTTTAAATAGTTAAATTTGAAAAAGTTATGTACAATACATACATACATACATACATACATACATACATACATGATAAGTATCTGGGAATACGTTTGGCTTCCTATTAAGTATTCTTTGATAAACAGAAATGGTGACAGAGGGAGGTATGGATGCATTTTCTGTGGTTTACACAATGGCTGATTACAGTACTCATCCTTGGTCTAAAGCCAGAATAAAAGAACCCTAGCAAAGTAAATTATGTGAAAGGAGGCAGGGTGGAGGTGAAGTGATGGCCTGCCATTCCTTCCATCTTCATTTTCTATCAGCTCTATGAGTGACCTTGTTATGTCACCTTTCTATCAGTCCCTGTCAAGTAGTGTTCCTCTGTATGGCCTCCCATCAATGCGTGTACACTGCATGTGCACATACAGAAAACTGCTTTAGTTACTTTTGATACGTTTCATTGAGTCAGGTTTCTGGTGAAACAAAAATTATCTTTAGATGCCAATGAAATTTTGTTTGAGCATAGTATATTGGAGTCATTTTGTGGTATATATCTTTCAAGTTTCTATGTATGTGCTCTTCTCAGTCTAAAATGGTGAGCATTTGAGCGGGTTATTGACAGAAGAATCAGCAGCTGTTTGTGCTTAAAAAGAAAATTGCTTCACTTTGTGGATTTTATACTTTTGATTCTTACGCATGTAAAATTTAGCATGCAAATGTATTTGTCTTGGCAGTTTCGGTCAGTGGTTTCCTTAAGCAATAAAAATTTGTCTCATTGTGGACATGGGTATCAGTTTAGAGCTAGAGAGGAAAATTATCAATATCCTATTTCTAGTACAGTTTGTATAACAAACCAGCAAGGTCTCTACTTGCTATCATATGCTATAACATGATCATAAAACTGAACTTATATATATATATCCTATGCTTATTATTGTTTATATGTTTTTAAATTGTTGTGTCTCCTTAGATACCTACACAGTGAAAGGAAATGCCAATGGAGCACCTTGTGTATTCCCTTTTAAGTTTGGTGATAAATGGTATGCTGACTGCACAGATGCTGGCAGATCAGATGGCTGGTTCTGGTGTGGAACCACTTCAGACTTTGATGTTGACAAGATATATGGATTTTGCCCATTGAAATGTAAGTTTTGTATGTTCATGATTCTGCTGTGCTGTTATTCTGCTGCCTGGAAATATTGGTGTCCTTATCATGTGCTTTACTGTACAAATACAGTTTGAAATGAAGCATTTTTCCATCTCCATTCAGCATGCAATCCATCGAGGAACTACTTAAATATGCAAATATGGGGCTCAGCATAAAAAAAATTGACCAACTATATCCAGTTGCAAGTGTATTAATCATATGCTGGAATTTGTAATTACACCATTTACTTAAATGGAAAGTTAATTAGATGTAAAGATGTTACATTAGTATATGCAAAAGGCGATGTAGAAATTTGTGTAGTAGAATTGAAAGCTAGAATATATCTTAATTGAAAATTAATACTACTTTGTAGAATAAGTTGCCTTTTAAACATGGTGGAGTTTACATGAACTTTTTACTAAGTCCCAGTATTTTCCAAATCCATATGCTGTGCTGTAGTTCTGTATTTAAAATCAGTGAGAAGTATTTATATTTTAAATTGCCTGATTTGAGTATAACTAGAATTTCAACTGTAGTATTATGAATATATAGAACTTTCTTTAGAAATGTTGATATTACTTTAAGTAAACTGGAGTAATTTGCTTGTATGTATTCAAATTCTTTTAAATTTGAGAAAAGTTTCCCTAAATGTCCGTGAAATATGTAGTAAGCATTTTCTCTGCAAGCTGCTGCTTTTTCTGTCATGCTGAGAGAGGTAGCACTTCTCCCTCCCTTCTTCTTTATTACTGTGTTTTGCTGTGAAGCTTCAGCTGACCGCAGTCAGAGCTAAGGAGAAAAATATGTCTTTCCTTTGATGTGAAGAAAACAGTTTGGGTTGATCTAAGTGGTTTGATGATGAAGTATTAGTGTCCTTGCCTGATTTCCATGAATGTTGCTTTCATTATTTCAGACAAATATAAATTGCACTTTTTTTCCTATGCCAGTATTATTTCAAGATATTAAAAACATGTCGGGAATATCAATCCCTTAATACAGCACATGCAAGATCAGTTTAAGAATATTACCTGTCTAGTGTTCTCTGAGTATAGCAAATAGAAGGCATCATTAAAATTTTGTTTAATTCTTTGGCATAATTCAAGGAAATCCATTCAGATGGCTGTGATTGTTTTTGGAAAAAGCTGCTTTATGCTGATTGCTTGCATGTTTCCTTCCTGATTCTTCAGTACTGGCTATAAAATATTCAAGTTTGGGTCATGTATTTTAATGAGAGACAGGCTGCAGTAGCAGAAGTTTTAGTCAGCCCTATGAAAGAGGAATACCTTAATAAACTTCAACAGCCCCTTTAAACATAGAACATTTAAATCTTTGTATGTTTAAGTGTATTTAATAAGAATAAAATGTTGTGTCTTAAACTGTCTGGGGAGCAAAGGTGCCATTATGAAAATATATGATGCAAACTATTACAGCTGTTCATACTGGGATCTGGACATACAGTGAAATTATCAGTCGAACCAGTCACCTTTTCTCACTGTGAGTAAAACCCTCTCAAATATTCTCCAGAATGAAGAGGGCATAAGACTATACCTATAACAGTGATTATGCTCAATAGAGGGGAAGAAATCTGGCCAGTGGAGGTACCATAACTGTCAGTATGACCCTTTCTTTGGTGCTTCACAAAGATGCTGATACAGTGACAGTAGGAAATTTAAATCCCACAGGAAGAAACTGAGAAGTGTTGCTGCATCAGACAGTTTTTAGTAGCCTAGGAAATACTGGTTCTTTACAGGTTACACTGAGTCTGTTTAAGCAGCATGTTGCTGTGCTATATACAAGTAGTTGCTGGGGAAGGAAACAGGTTGCCATGTAAGGCCATCAGGAGAGTGAGTCATGAGGTGTGCCTATAGCCGTATTCAAGTGGGCAAAAGTCCATTGAGGCCTCTTGCTTGACAGATCAAAGAGCTAGAATTTCTGTGAAGAATTTGGAAGGCCTTATAAGTGATGCATAAAACTTGCAGCTGACTAGGAAGGAAACAAAAAGTGCAGAGAATGAGGAAATATTTAAATAGTCTTAGCATGGTATGTTAATTTTTGGGCAAATCTACATCCTTGTATTCATTGACAAACAATGAATTTATTTTTTATGACAGGCTTTTTCCTCATGCTAGTGATTAAAGATGTTTTGAAGGGTTTGTCATTGTGTTTTTTTGTCTGGTTCAAAATGCCTGGTGAATTGGTCAACTAACTTATATGGGGTTGATTTTGTTGTTTCTTCTGATTTATCTGGAACTCATAACCTGACTTTGGACCTCACAGATTTATCTAGGATAAAGAAAGAGAGGAGCACTTTAGGAAAAGATATCTAAGTAAAGATAAGCATGTGAAGGAATCTCAGGATAATTTAGACTTTTAGTATTGACAACATTATATCATTATACACTATACTATAAATTTCCATAAACTGTAATGTCTTTATTATGTGATTCCTTCCGTACTGTGTGCTCAGAGATGAAGCGATGACAGTTGTTTTATAGACTGTCTAACAAGTTTTATATTCAGTTTTTGTTTGCCATGATTCTATTAATGCAGTTTCCAAGGATATTGGACTGAGACTGCAACTTGCTTTTGATGGATAACTAAACAAACAAGAACATATTATTGTTACTGCTAGTCAAAGACCAGATTTCAGCTTGCAATTTTGAAATTAAGATCTCTCAAGATTCTTCCATTTCCTGATTCAGGAAAAATGCTTTATTTTCATCTGTTAATCATGTTGACATTTTTAAAATTATAAATGTAAAAATGTCTGCATTGGTCAGGATTTCATGCCTTTCCTATAAGTTCAAACTTGTCTGTCAAGGGCTATACCTGAAATTCAATACCTTTTCGGTCTGCTTTGCTTTGCTTTGCTCGAAAGACAGAAATTTCAAAGACATGAGTTAAATCTTCCAACTTACTATATCGTACTTGTGGGATTTTGATAGTAATCATAGGGGAAACAGCTAGTTCTCACTAATTTCGGTGTATACAAAAACTGCATGCTGAATTCATCTGTGTAGGAATAAAGTTCAGCTTTTAAATTTTTTTTCCAGTTAAGTACTAAGGACAGGTGTGTTTTAACATTAATTTAGTTTAGATGCTAAATTATATCATTCCAGAAAAGTGATTCATCTTATGGTTTCCCTGGGGTTACTAAGCCTTTAAAAATAGCATATAGATTATCCAAAATCCTGCTCTGTGTAGGTATTTGACCTCATAGAACTCAAGTGTCTTAAACCCACATTTTCCAGGGCTCAAAAATTAACTTTATTTTAATGAAAGACCAAAGTTGTGCAGGAGAGCACCATATGCAAGTCAGCTATAAATTATGAGGCTGGGGAAGTGAGGTGGAAGGTTGGACGAATGCCTGAGACTTGTTTACCTCTTCCTCTGTGATAATTTTACAAGATTTAGAATACCCTTTCTATGAAGTCAGAGACAGTTTTTTTTTACTGAAGTATAGATTTTACTACTTTTGAAATCTCCATTTTATCCCAGGCTTGTGCTTGTGCACGGTCATTTATGGTCTTGTTGAACATAGCGTAGTGAAGAAATTTTGCCTTCTGATAGTCGTAAAAGATTTTGGACAGAAGTTGTTTTGTGGATAATAATAATGAGATGAAAGTTTCCATTTTTAGTCAAATGTCTTTATTACAATAGGTTATAACTGATTTTTTAAAATAATGATAATTTGAAAAGAATTAGTGATAATATCTATAAACTTAATCAGATTTAATACAGGAAAAAGTGGAACTGGTTACTGACCAGCTGACATTTAACATGTATCATCCTTCGTCTTGAGTTTTGTTTATTGTACTGTTTTCCTCTTATTTACACACTTAAGTTTTCTAAGTTTTTCTGAATTCAGAAGAGGAAAATACCTCTTTCAAATTTTTCACAGCTCGCAACTTGAGAAATTCTGATTACAGGCTGTGGGAATTTCAGTCGTTTTCCCATTGTCAGCACATATACAGGGTCCTCTGCTATATTCAGCTTTTTGTCAGGCAAATTTCATCTCTTTATGTGATATTTAGCTCAGTGTTGGGGCCTCCTGTAGGTTCCATTTTTGGCAGAGCAAGATCACACTGCATGTTGTGGAGATTCAATTGAGACGAGCCAGGAGAGACTGCACTGTTGTAAGGAATATGGTACCTTCTGAGGTCACTTCTAATGCTGGCCCATGCTGGATGATGCTTTCACTGTTTTGGCATTGCTTAAATGTGCCAAGTTCAGGTATTCAAGGAGGTCACAGTCAGGTCATGTGGCAGAGAAGAAGATGTGATGGTATGTCAGATACATGCATAAGACAAATCAGGAATTTCCAGAAAACGTGAGATGGATGCTGATAATGTAAAATTTGTGTTCAGGGCTTGGGTCTGATTACCTCTATCACAGTAAGAAAATCCATAGCCACATTACATAGTACCCAAAATTGGTCAGCTTCATATACACCTTAGCTAGCATGAGTCTGAAAGTTTATAGTCTTTTTCTTCACAGTGACAAAGCAACTCTTTTTGCATGACTTTAGCCACTTAAGCTTCTACCTTAAACATCAGCTTTGTTATACCAGGGAAAATGGTGACCTTGTTTCATGGCCTCTGTACTGTCCAACATGGCTGTTGTGGTTTAGCTCTGCCCTGGATTATAACACATGAGAGCGCCTCGGGACTCCTTTCAAACCAGTTTTATAACAGTGTTTAGGTTTTTTACATTTGTGCTACACAATTTATTCTATATTTTATCTGGTTCTGTCTTCATGATCATTTACAGCATTTCTTTTTCTTCCTACAGTTAATAGTATTGATTTGTTGTGGGATACAGATCCTTTAACAAATGTTCAGTACCAGATAAACTCTGAGGCAGCTCTGAAATGGCATCAGGCAAGAAAGAGCTGTCAACAACAGAAGGCAGAGTTACTGAGCATCACAGAGTTGCATGAACAAACATACCTGACAGGTAGGGTAATAATTATCAGGTGGGTTTTTTTTAAAATGCATTATTGTAATGGTAACACTTATATGGCATGTTCCATCTTGAAAATTGATATTTGTTCATTTCTGTTAATTAGTAGATTTAAACTGTTACTTTGAATCATCCAGCTGGAAAAATTGGACAGAGAATGATTATTTTATCCTGATTAAATATTGCCAGAAACTTACAGTAACATAAAGAATACATCAGTTAAGTAATGCAAGCAATAAAGAATGAAAGTTGAAATGCAGGAAAATGCAAAATAGTTTGTAAACCAAAGATGCAGATACCAAGATTGCATCCTTTTTGTGCTCTATTTGTTCCATGTACTAGTCAGCATTTTTGGCTTATCTCATTAAAGCTGTCGTATCATCAGTTTGTGCTAAGATATGAAAAGAAAAAAAAAGAACTAATAAACAAAAGGACTCACAAATAGCTTGTTTTATTTTCAATATCTTTCAAAGTTTTTGAAGTAATTTCCAAACTTCTCCTCTGAGAAAAATTTCTTCTGAATGTGTACTTGAATATATTTATATTCTACAATGAAACAGTCTCTTCTTTATTACCTTCTTAGCCTATGTACACACATGAAACAGTCCACCAGTTCATCTATTAAATAAATTAGAAAATATTTTGAGTATGTTACATCAATTGGAAGGTAAACTATTCTGTGCCATAAGCTATATTTTGTGCTATGTAAGTTCATAGAATCAGAGAATGGTTTAGATTGGAAGGGACATTTAAAGATCATTTAGTCCACTCCACCCCTGCCATGGGCAGGAACATCTTGCACTAGACCAGGCTGCTCAAAGCCCTGTCCAACCTGGCCTTGATGGGGCATCCACAACTTCTCTGGGCCACCTGTTCCAGTGTCTCACCATCCTCATGGTGAAATTTTTTTTAATTAAATCTGATCTCACTCTATCCTCTTTCATTTCAAGACTGTTGCCCCTTGTCCTGTCACTGGAGGCCATGGTAAAAAGTTTCTCTCTGTCTTTCTTATAAACCCCCTTTATACATTGAAAGGCCATGGGAAGGTCTCCACAGAGCTTTCTCTTTTCCAGACTGAATAACCCCAACTCTCTCAGCAGTTCTTCACAGGTGGGTTGTTCCACCCCTCTGATGAATTTTTAAGTGCCCTCTTCTGGACCTGCTTTAACAGGTCCATGTCCTTCTTCTACCGGGGACCTGAGAACTGAATGCAGTACTCCAGGTGGAATCTCACCAGAGCAGAGTAGAGGGGGAGAATCACTTCCCTCGACCTGCTGGCCACACTTTTGATGCAGCTGAGGATATGGCTGGATTTCCACACTGCAAGCCAGTTCATGTCCAGCATTTCATCCACCAGTACCCCCAAGTCCTCTTCTGCAGGGCTGCTCTCAATCCCTTCATCCCATAGTCCGTATTGATATTGGGGATTGCCCCAACCCATGTGCAGGACCTTGCACTTGGTCTTGTTGAACTTTGTGAGGTTCAGATGGGCCCACTCCCGAAGCCTGTCAGGGTCCCTCTGGATGCCATCCCTTCCCTCCAGTGAATCAACTGCACAACTCCGCTTGGTGTCATGTGCAAAATTGCTGTCTAAACTTTTGTTTTCAATTTTGGTCAAAACATAGGTCTTTTTTTTTTTACCGAGTCTGATGAAGTTATTGTTGAAATTAATACTCAAGGGAGCAATCTGGCACTAACATATAGGAGTGAGTTATTAGTAAGTGTGTTGTAATTGCAAACTAGTAGATATGGCTGCCAAATATATGTGGAAATCAGTTTTTCATTCTACAGCTACCCTGGCAGTACTAGGATTTCCTATCACACTCAGTTCTTGATCATCTTAACCACAACTTGTTTGTATAGAAGAAGTACTGGAACACATTAATGTGTTGGTGCCAAGTCAGGCTCTGGTATGATATTCCAGTCCCTTCCTGTGCTTAACTACCCCTCCTTTTAACCTTGCCATGCTTCAAGTGCTGCCCATAATCATGGTGTCAAACACAACTAAAATATATAGAGCAAAATTACATACTGGCACAATGCCATCACAGAAGCAGAAATAAATAATATATTGCACAATGGTTTTCTGTGAACTATGCAGAAATACATTTAATTCAGAAAAATCAGCAGTTGTCCAGCTGGGCTTCTAAGTCTTATATGAAAGGCAGAGGTAGACAATTGATTAATAATGACTGTAAATAATGTGAGAGAATTCAGCAGGGCCGTACATAAGCATGATATTTTGAGGTGCTTTTCAGAACTCAAGCAATAAATTGGACCTGGCTTTGAAAGCCTGACCTATCACTGGCTAAACCAATGAAATCAGATGAGACCAAAAAATATACAAGATGTGCTGTTACAAAGACAATGTTTGGAATGATCACATTTTAATGTAGTTTGATAAAATGCAAACAATTTTTTAACTTTACAATATTTCATAAATTTGAAACTGACATTTGTTAGTTTTATGAGAAAATAATAGGAAACTATTAATGTTTCATTTCAGAAAACTGATTTTTGGTTTTGTGATCTTTTGTGCAGCTTTATCAATTTAATGTTTTATAATTCTGGAAAAAAAAATGTTTTGTATTTATGATCATTGGTTTAGAAAGAGCATGCAGAAGGGTCATTTTGTTTTCTATAGTAATAAAATTGTCCACACCTAAAAACGTGAAAATTCTAAAACTATAGTGACCCGTGTAACATGATATGTTTTGCAAGTTTAGTATAGCCACCTTAACTAAAAGGATAAAAGTTGTTAAAATTTGTACTGGGAAAAAGGAGAAGCAGATGGTTTAGAGAGAATTAATCTCTCAGGTTTTGAGAAAGTGTTTGCTCTTGCTGTGCATTTACAGTATCTGTCTTTGTCTCTGTTACCTAGGTTTGACTGGCAGACTGAGTTCTGCTCTATGGTTTGGTCTTAACAGTTTGAATTTCAACAGTGGATGGCAATGGGTTGGTGGAGCTCCTTTTCGATACTTAAATTGGGTTCCAGGTAAGGTTAAATACGGTGTTACACAGTTTAAAAGGCAACCATTTGATCATCATGTAACATATTTCTTTTCTAGTACTCTGTTCTGCAATTATTGAGCTTGTTTTGATGTTGAAAGATTCTGAATGGTCTATAAACACTGTGAGTAATGGCCCTTGTGCTAGGGGTAGGCACTGGACCTAATCTGTTATTCACAATGGAAATGGTAGCCTCAAAAGTTTTAAAAAGTCATCTAGGAAAGTTTTAAAAGTCATCTATTTACACTTCATTTGTATGTTTTCTTAATTTACTTAATTTATTTCTATATAATACAGAATAAATCTGATGCTATAGCTGTCTTTGTGAGATTAGACTGGTCAGTATATGTTATTTTTTGTTTGTTTTTTAAAATTCCTTTCCTTTCCAATTTGTTTTGGTTATTTGCTTAAAGGTTAGATTTTAATTTTCATTTGGGGTTAACCTTTCCATGGCAGTAACAGGTATCAAACTGAACATTTTATGCTAGTCTACTTTGAAACAAACCCAGCTACATCACGTCTGTAGTTGCAGTGTTGAACTCTGGTGCCATTATTAAAAAGCTTGTCTCTATGCCATCTGGATACATGGTGAAGAAGAGGTGCTTTTTTCGTTTATTATTCAGTGCCTATGTTAAGGTGTCTTTTTGTAGGACCCTTGTTCCCTTGCACTGGCTATTCAGGAAGCCTTTGGAGACTAATTTAAAGTAGGTGTCTGAAGTTATGCAGTGTAAATACTCTTGTCTTCACTGAGCATGTGCTTAATCTGCAGTAACTATAAATGCACGCTCCATTGTATCACCTGGTGGCTCTCTTGTGTAGGTAAGGCCAAAAGCACAATTTAGGTGGATAACCTTCTTGAGTAGGTAAGCTTTGAAGAGTAAATTGAACTACTTTATAAATAGCCCTCCAATGGAGTGATCACACAAGGCAAACAGATGGTCTGAACTGCAAGTTGCTGTGAAGGTATTTATAGGTCTGTTATCCAAGTGCACTGATGAGGATCTGCATGTAATGAAGAGTGGTGGAACACTGATTGTGAGGTGGAGCCAAAGCAGCAAGGGAAGCTGTTCATGGTTGTTAAAACTTGCAGACAACTCTCAGTTGTCCTGTAAAGGGTTAGGTGGGTTTTGGAGTAACCAAAATGGCGTTCATTTAACTTTAGCTCCTTATCTTCCTTGGGTTCATTTGAAGGTAATACTCTTGAATCCATATAACCTATTTTATATTTGTGCTATCTCCTTCATGACTTTCCTTTGGTCAGCCTACCTCTATGTCCTCCCTATTACCCTGGATGTTCAAGAGCTGACCATTTTTCCACTAGTATATTTTAAAAGAATTTGTGATAGCTTCATATTCTTCCATCTCACTAGCCATGAATAAATAACAGGAAAACATGGAAATCAAATTATCTACATCTAAACTAAAATTATGCTGGTCAGGCATCTGGGAAGAAATTTGTTCTGTTCTACAAGTTCTACTTTTCTTCTAGATGTTTCTGTTAGTGCTAATGCTAATCTTCAACGTAAGGTGTCTAAATATCCTGCTACTGTCATATTGTTTAGACAAGTGGACAAGTTCACATTAGCAAAATAATTACTTACAATTTTTTTGTCTTTACTGTTATACTAAGTACAGAATTTGACTAGTTCACTGAACAGTTGTTTCACCTAAAGATTGTGCTGTGGAGTTTATTCATTCTTTGTTTAGAAAGGGAAAAAACCAACAACAAAAAAAATAGGTGCACTGTAATACCTTCCATCAAGACTTTGAGCCTGTGAAGATGTTGTTAAATTGTGAACTGGATAAATATCTCAGCTTGTGGTTGCTGTGAAAAAAAAAATCTTTTAAGGGAATGAACTATTCCATTCAATCTAAAGGGCTGTGGAGAATCACAGTTGTCTGTATGTGAATGTATCTTATAATTAAAGCATGGAACAGATTAGAATGTGAGAGTAATTGGGAGGGTAACCATGATGTCCTTATGCTTTGTTTTTGTTGTTGAGGTAGTTAGTTATTTTTTTTTAAAACAGGACATCCTTCTCCAGAACCTGGAAAAATTTGTGCAGCATTAAATCCTGGCAAAGGTGCTAAGTGGGAGAATCGGGAATGCGATCAGAAACTTGGCTATATTTGTAAACGAGGAAATACTACTTTAGAATCTTTCATTATTCCTACAGGTAGGTTTGGTAATAAACCCTTAACAAGTTATTAATGACTAGTGTTTTCTATCTGTGATTCTAATAGCTATTTGTTATTGCACATCGTAAAAGCAAGCAAAGGTCTTTGCAGACTGTAACTTGACCAAGACTGAACAGTGTGTACTTCCTTTTTGTTCTGGTCTCCCTACTTCCTGTGTAGTAATCTTTCTTCAGTAGCTTTGAATTCTAAATTGCAGAAATTGTGGAGTTCTCTTTTCAAAAAAACAAGTAGAACTGTCAGATTTTGTTCATAGAATAAGAAGAGAAATAATGTATTTTTTTTTTTTTTTTAAATATGTAATTTTCTAAAGCCCCATGTACTCAGTGAAAATAATCTATTTCTTCTTGCTGTCATTTTTACTACTTATGGAATAGAGTAAGTTTGCCAGTCCAAGTTGGTAGTGGACTAGAGAAATTTAAAAAAAATATTTTGAGACAGTTAAATAATTTTAATCTATATCTATATAGACTTATATATTATATCTCTATATATTCTATAAATCATATATTATATAAAATTATTTAATTATATATAGAAACTAACTTTAAAATGAAATTTATGTAAATTATATATACATATACAGACACTTATTCAGAAGAAATGTAGTTCTGGTACTTGCCTAATGTACACAGGAAAGACAAAACAGGGATAAGTTTTCATAGCTTTATTTAGACCTGTTTCCTTATTATCTCTCTGTGTGTTATAAAAACCTTGTAAAGTATTAATTTGTTTCATCACCTTCTTTCTGTTCTTTCCAAGTTTCTTTTTCTTTCCAGGACATACAGGTATCTCCTAAATCCACTGACATTATTTTGTACAGGTTTTAGAAGCAGAAAGCTGAACCATTACTGGATTTCCAGTCCATTTATTAATATGCATTCTTGGCAAAATAGATGTTTTGGAAACTCAATGTTGGACATTTGGCTTAAAAAACATGTTTTTTAATGTTTTTCCTGCTTTTGCCAATATACGACCTGGTCAGTCAACAAATACTTAGGACAGAGACTTCTGTAAAATTCGTTTTGCTTTTCTGCTAAGAGAAAAAACCCCACAAGGATGAGCTAGTGTTTTGTTAATTAAGTATTGAAATCAGTATTTAATACTTAAATTAATTAAGCTAATACTTCACTGTTGAAATCAAGCATATTTGTTGCCTTAGCTGAGTAGGACTTCAGTACATATTTTAATTATTTTCTGAATTAAGATGTAAAGTTTTGTTAGTATTCATATACAGCTGATAACCAGATAGTTTAATTTATATAGGTTGTCTTAGATTGTTCAGTTGGTTACCACTCAGCTTTTCAGGTTTCATACATCAGTTCTTAAACACTGATGCCTATAAATATACTATCAATTTAATACAGGTTGCTATCTTATTTAGATTTAAATTCAGTTTTGAGGGGAGTCTAATGGCCTTTTCTTTCTTATGCTGTAGGCTTTTGATTCTCCCTTACTCCCCAGTAATTTGGAGGAAGAACAGAAATGAGACAAAAGTTTTCAATTGTACAGAAATTGCTGAGTAAACATCGTGACAGATTAACCAGAAACTGGCAGTGATTCACTTCATAAAATAATTTCCAAAATGTCCCGTGGGGGGAAGTCATAAAAGGAATAAGTATGTGATCATGCAAGGTGTTAAGTGCCCTCAGCTTCTAATGATGTAAAGGAAAACTCATGGCAGATGATGTTTTCCTGACTAGGGCTCCTAAGTCAAGAAATAAATTAATCACTAATTCATACATGCACTTAGTCATGCACTTAACATTAAACACAGAGGCAATTCTTTGAAACTTTAACCCTAAAAGTTACAACTGAGTCTAACAAGGCAGTATGTGAGGACTGTGGGACAAAATGAACACTTTACAGTAGAATATAATCATACTTGTGTCCAAAAAAAAAGTAGAGAAAAATTTTACAGAATATTTATTTTTGTTGCAGATGAAGATTTTCAGGAAGTCAACAGTTTGTACAGTTTTTTTTGTAGCAGAAGTGTTGTCTCCAGCAGGGGGCCCCATGATTGTATACATCTAAGTGATGGAGAAACAGGGCTCCAAAGCATTTGCCCTGTAATACAGCAAAGAGTATTAATAGGAGCCTGCTTATTTTTTAACTTAGTTTTCTAAGGAAAATCTGTCTGTCTCTCTGCCTCCACCAAGTGACTGCCAAAATAGATTTCATCCCAATCCATCGAGATGGAGTGATCTTAAAGTATTGTTCTCAAATGTTTCATAAAACATTTGATACGGAAATAAAAGCTCTTAGTGTCACTGTTGTGACTGCTGTGTGAGCTCTCTGTTATCAGACCACAGAGGATGGGTGTGAAAGAAAGAAGTTTGTATGCCTGAATCACAAGACAAACTTCAGTTAGAGTTTTCACTATTTTAGACACCTAAGTCAATCACCGTGACATCCTCTGACTTCAGGAAACCAAGCTTACAGCTTACAAAAGTATTTGCTATCTATCTGAGGAGCTTACAAACTTCATTTATGTATCTTGATCTATTGCACAGTAAATGAATCAGCTTGACATTTGGGATACCATTTTTTAGACATTAATGTGATTTCCTTTGTTACATCTTACTTGTTGTAATTTGTGTGCTGCTTTTGCTTAAGTCAAGTTCAGGGAAGAGTACTTGTTTCCATTAGGATGGAAGAAGTAGATTGTATGCCTTTGTGTTGTCATGTATTTTCTTTAAAAGGAGACTAGGGAAGCACAGAATTCATTTTTACTGAGTACTGGAAATGAAGAAATGAAAACTTACTGAGAAATCCCCAACTATGTCATTCAATAAGACTTGCACCAGAGAAACTAGACTGTCAACTGCTTTTCTTGTTTTGTGGCCTGCAACAAATTTCCTGGTGTTACTGCATTTACAAACAAAAGATTCTCTCACTCTGCCATAGCTGCTTTAGTGCTTACAGTAATAGTCTCACAGTCTCCTTCGGTCTGAAAAAGAGACTGTCACGGACTCACTGAGGAATAAATACCTTTGTGACTGTAGCCATGTCTGAACTGCTGATGTCTGTTCTATTCAGTGTTTACAATTTGCAGAAGGGTGCACTAAGTGTGTTGGAGGTGCACATATACCTAGATTTTTTTCTAAAGCAATTCTCTGACTGCCACAGCAAAGCACTGTAAAATGCATATGCTCAGAGCTGAGACCAAACATTGGACAAATTATGCAGCTGTTTGAAGCATCAGACTAACCTTTACAACAGCATTGGCCACCTCTGTTCTCTCTTGTTTCTCCCACCAACACCATGTACATTCAGCTTGTTTTTTCGGGGTTCCCCCACTCTTCCTCTCTTGTGGCAGGATTGACAGGATATGTGCTTGCAACCTGGGCCTGTCTGGTCATGACTTTGGATGCCTACTTAATTTTTCTACGGAGAATACCCCACTGTTATACACAAACACATTGCTCATCATTCCCTGACATGCACAAATTTTTTTTGCCATCAGAATTTCTGCAATCCCACTGTCCTTGTTGTACTCTATATGTTGATGTTTGCTAAACCCATCTGCTGATTATAAATAAATTGCTGCAAGAATCATAATATGTTTCTACAACAGCAGTAATCTGTTTATTATATGTTTGGGTGTTGCTCTCATAAATATGTTTTGTAAGCTCAGGTTCTTAACATATAGCTCTACAGCATGGAGGAGGAAGAGAAATGCTGACGTGTGTAGAAAAATGATAGAGCACAGCTCTGTAAACCTTGCCTTTTAGTATGTATGTATGCATATAAAGGTCAAAACTGTGTTTTATGGTAATTTTAAATTCTGTCTTTTCACAAGATGCAAGCACGTGTTTGCAACTGTAGTGTTCTTTAAAAACAACTGGCAGTTTCAACTTTTAATCATGCATGCCGATTATTATCCCTGTACATATTTTTCAGTACTGTTGTTCTTCATGAAGAAAATATATAATTAATTTCTTCATGTGATTTTTCAATCTTTAGTTAAGAATAGAATTCTGAATCTCTTCATGGCAATTTTTCTTTCCAGAGACAAACGTGCCAATTAGATGTCCTGATCAATGGATGTCATATGCTGGGCACTGTTACATAATTCACAGGGACCCCAAAATATGGAAAGATGCCTTAACATCTTGCAGGAAAGAGGATGGGGATCTAGCGAGCATCCATAATGTTGAAGAGTACAGCTTTGTTATTTCTCAGCTTGGGTACCGTGAGTATTTTTAATAATAGTAATAAAATATATTTATACTAAGAAATAATTTTGAATATGTCTTACCTATTAATAAAAGGATGAGACTGTTTTAAAAAAAATATTTTCCTGATCACAGAGTGAAGAAGGAGTTAAACTTTAAATTTAAAAAATCTTTGGAAGAATAAAAACCACAATAAGAGCATGAAAACCAAACAAACTAGTGTCACAGAAAATCTGTGGTCAATGTTGTGAATTGCATCAACCCTAAACTTCTGTTTCTTAGGGTCTGCTTCTACCTCCTTTTATACAGATTAAAACAACTGTCAACCTTTTCAGAACCTGGAAGGATTTTTACTATTGGTCTGCAAAGATATAGATGAGGAGAAACAAAGTCTGTTGGTCAAAGACAGTTTGGGAAGATCTGGGTCCTATTACCAGCACTGCCATGTCCCTATTTTTCAAGTTCATGCTGCTTGTGTTTCTTCTGAAAAAGGAAGCTGTCTGTTACAGTATGTGGGTTCAGATGTGCCCCAAATTAAATATGGTACTTAGGTGCTCAGTTTCCGAGCACACATTTGAGTTGTTGCAAGGCATGTTAAGCTACAGGTGCAGTGTGTTCATTAGGGGAGATGCAACCATGCTGATGCTGAGGCAATTGTGTGGTTGCTATTGCTTTACATGAACCTGATTTTGCATGTAGGATTAGTTACTGCTTTTTGATGGGAGGGCCATGTTCACACCTAGGTATGCTTCTTTGCAGTACCAGATCCTATTTGTGCTTTCAGTGCCAGGCAAGTGTGTGTTAGTTTATCCTTCACTGAAAGGGCAGTAGGCTGCTTTGATCTGCAGTGTAAACAGCAATCTTGGAGTAGCAGTTATAAAATAGCTGATATGCTTTAGTTTTGTATCCTAGCCAACTGCATGGCAACTTGTGCTTGTTCTCACATTCCTGAAAGAGGGATTTGTTGTTCTTTCATGAACAACATGAAACTTTTACTCTTTCAAGGTGATCATTAGGAGAGGTAGAGCCTCTTGATGAGACATTAGGACATTTGAAGGAAGTTAGGCTCTAGAGGAAATTAGTTGTATTTTCACTTTACTCCTTGGAAGTAGACTATTTCATAGTTTAATGCCTTCTCCAAAGACCTTTCCTGAACTGATTTGTACTGCACATTTTTTGTAAAACTGAATGTTTCTGAAACGCAAATAGTCCTGAAGGAAACCAGGCTTCTCACATATGGCACACTCACTGCAACAGACTATTTTGAAAGCATTCCTGTTGAAAGCATTTTCAGAGGAGTAAAACTGGAACAACTAAAGAAGCCTTTTAAGGCAGTTTATGACAGTACCAGATTACCCTTGTTCACCATTGAGATGAGAACACCATGTATTGCTATGCCTACAAAATCTTGTCTGCATCAGAACTTTGCTGCAGTAAGTGCTGTACAGAAAGAACAAAAGTCTGTCTTCATGCCAAACAATTCACAGTCCCATGATAAAACACAGGAAGAAGGAGTACAATGAGATGAGTATTGTCATAGTAGCTGAGCTTTTGTTGCCATCACCCACAAAGGAGAACTTCAGAGAGGAACATGAAGAATTCAGAAGGGCATTCTGGATGTTTACACAGAAGTCCAGCATGTGATATGACACAAACATGGCAGAGTGCGTGTTGGAAAGAGTGCAAAACATCTTATTTACAAGTGGATGGGAAAAAAAAATCTTGGTATTTAGTCAACCAACTTTAGAGGTAATTGCAAAACTCTGACAGCCTTTCTTCTTCAGAGGATAAAATGTTATGTAGGAAGAGGCTCTGCAGAGCCAGAAATGGCTCTTGGCCATTTCTGATGTGCATGGCTTATTTAGATGACTTTGATGCAATCCTTTTGTTAAAAAATGGGGTTTATTGTTCATATTACCATGGTGTGAGCCCACCACAGTAGGAGCTCCGGTTATGGATGAGGCCTCTGCTGTGCTAGGTGCTCAATAAACACAGAGAGAAATATTTTGATAAGTAGACAAAAAAGAAATTAGTGAGCACGGAGGGCAGTAGCTAAGGAGGGAATGAGAGCATGATGGGCAGTGGAACTGGAACAGGTTTCAGTTTTTGTAACAAAGGAGAACATAAAGGAGGGTACTGGGATGTGATGTTGGGGGACTTCTGAACATGAAGAGCAGTCTGGAAGAAGAGGTAAGGGTGCCTGTTTGAAAATGAAGCCCGATGTCCTGTGAATCTGAGCCCTTCTTTTTGGGGGAGAGATGGTAAGGACAGTATGGATGAGCTTTGAGGGCTGATTATACTTAGGTATAATAAAGAAGGGAGAGACAAGGGAGGGAAAGAGAAAGGAGAGAGAGTGGACTCCATTAAAGTGACAGGCTGGGAGGGTAATTTTTGTAGCAGTTTGGTTGGTCAAAATGGGAAGCTTCCATGTTCCTCTAACTAGTAGATGGGAGAAATGCCATAGGAGAGCTTTAAGTTATGGGGGTATTTAGGAAGAAGTCCACCTGAAATGCGTTAATCAGAAAGGTGGCCTTTGTGGGCAGTCACTTTTAACTTACAGGCACTTCTGTTGCTACTGACAGCAGCAACAGAAAAGAAACAGTTCCAGTTCCAGTGAGACACACTCCTACAGCAGATGTCTTTTGTCATAATCCCATTTTTAATTTCTGTGAGTAGTTTCATTGTCAGGTTGACTATGCTCAGTCTGTATAGAGGATGTTAGAGGAAGACTTACAGAAGAAAGCAAGAGCTGTGATAACAAACTGAACAGGAAAAACTTCTGAATGCTGTAGGTGGGTCGTAGAAATGCAAGGTCATAAACAGTGGAAAAAACTCTTAAGAAGTAGTCTCCCTAGCATTTATGAATAATATTCGTAATAAGTAATTTTCAGCAACCAAGTAGTTCATACTCTGCTTGGAAAGCCTGCTGTCTAAGGAAAGGACTCTGCATGTAGCTGGTCAGTGTGATCTGGGTCATGGTGCTGTGGACAAAAGGAGACACACCTGCTGTCTGGTGAATGGATGGATGACAGAGTATAAATAAATAAAAAAAATTATTTAAAAAGCCAATTGCAGTGAACAAAGTCAGAAAATCAGTTCTAAAGAGGAATATCCTTTGATGATGATGGAGTTCAGACTGATTATAAATGTCCAAATTTTGAATCCTCCTTATTCAAATAGTTTATTCAGAACAAAACTAGGTATGAACATTATAGTAGCGATGTGTTAGGATGGAGGATTTTAAGCACAGACAAATAACTCTCTAAGAAACAGCTGCTGTAAAGTAACATCCTTGATCAGGCCCACACTTTCATTCCAGACAAAAACCAGCAGTTAACTCCATTAACTGTAAACTGAAAAAAGTCCAGCAACTACATGAATTCCATTTTACTCTGAACTGAAATAAAATATAGGAACACATGTAATTGGAAGGCTTGCAAATACTCTGGCTGTCAGCTCTAAAAGACAACATTGGGTGTCTCGGCATTTGAAAAGATGCTCTTTCTTCACTATACTTCACTAAAGGTAGGAAGAAAAGGGAGGTAGCATTTTACTGAGGTGTTTTATTCATATCTTGTTTCAAGAGTTTTGAGCTGGAAAAAAAGATTGAACCTAGTTGTGTTGCAACATAATTCAACAAAGAGAGAATTTTGACTCTTTTGTAAAAATGTTAAGCACTCTTACTGCATTGGCACTGAAGTGAGTGGACTTTTCTGATGCCTGGAGTGGGTATATGGGGAACGATCTGTCCTCTTCATGAAAGAGGGAGCCTTAATTTCCTGTGACTTGTTAAACTTCTTGAGAATAATTTTCTGTTCCATGAAGATAAAAGTTCACATCATATAAAAGGATTGTTATCAGCCTTGTTAATTATATGTTTTAGAGCCAACTGATGAGCTATGGATTGGGTTGAATGACCTCAAGGTTCAGATGTACTTTGAATGGAGCGATGGGACACCTGTCACCTACACCAAGTGGCTTCGTGGAGAACCCACTCATGCAAACAACAGGCAAGAGGACTGTGTTGTTATGAAAGGAAAGGTAAAGTCATGTGGCTATTAATTATCTTATACTTTTATATATAATTTGGTAATTTGGGCTTTTTTTTTTTTTCTATGCAAGAGCACAAAAGTAGGAGATATTACTGCTTGAAGCACCTATTTTAGAGTCTTATACATGTTATTTCTTGAGGAGGGATCCTTGTTTAAGGTTGCCAGAAAGTTGTTTCTGTCTTCCCTGAGAAGCAGGCAAGTGATGACTTTCCTTGAAGGCAACTGTCCCCCATGATCCATTTTGCTGGGTTTTAGTCCATACATGTGGGCTTTTTTGAAGAAACTTTTAGTTACACTTTGAAGCATATGAATATTAAATACTTTTCCTCAGGAAGCTACAAAGATATTTTGGATATGTTTGGGTTTTTTTCTGCTTTGACTGAATAAGGGATATACACCCACCTTAAAAATTTGCACTAGCAATTTTTAATGATACTGGAGAGAACTACTATCTTTGGAAGAAAATAGAAGCATTCATTTTCTTTTTCTAGGCAAAATTATAAGGCTTGGGTCGAGATGGATTAATTGTTGTGCTTGTATCAGCACTGCACATGAAGAGCTGTGAGAAAAGTAGTCAGTGATGGCATTAGTGGAAGCCTTTACTGAGCGACTGTATACCTACTTTTAAAAGGCTGCTTTGAAAAGGCTGCCTTTTGGAATATGGCAGTCATCAATGACCTAGGTACACTACAGGAAATGAGATAATACCTGTTATAAAAGTCATTGTGTGTGCAATTTTGTAAAATAGTATTTTTCCTCTTCGTGATAATTAAAAATACTGAACTTACCACCTCCTTCAGGATTTACCTATTTCATCAGGAGGAAAAAAGGTATTTACCTGTACCAAAGGCGTTTTGTAATTTTGCAAAATTAAAACTTGAGGGTTGCACTTTTGGTGGGTGCACTTATAAATTGAAGAGAACTAAAAATTTTTTCCCATTTGGCCTGAACATTATACAGAGCTTGCCTCATAGGGCAAGCCCTCACTTAAGCCCCAATAGGCCTAGTTTTTAACTTGCTTCACTTAGGTGCAGTCATCAACAGCAACAGTGACATGTATGCATGCAGCTGGTTCATGTGTCTCCATCATTCTGGTGCAAAACACTCAAATTCAGAAGTTGAGATTGATAGCAGCGGGGGAGGGCTGGGCCAGCTCTGCAGCAGGAAGAAGCTGTAAGAGACATAGAGAAGTTAGCAGGTGCAGCATTAGAAGGAAAAGGGACCACATCATCAGTTCCAGGAAGGAATGAGGAAGAGAACTAAAACAACATCCTTGGGAGAGCAAAACCACAGTAGTATCCATGGAAGAAGCACACTTGCATAGGTTATAGCATATTAATCTCCCAAAATTGAGCAGAACTATGCGTATTTGTGGAGGTGTTCTCTAGCCAAGCCAAAGTTCAGATCTACAGTTTCATTGCTGTATGAATTCAGCAGGGAAAAGGAACTTCATGTGCAGTCAGATGAGTCCAGAAGGTTAGAATTTGATGTGTATTTTAGTGAAGCATTTTGGACTGGTCAGAAGCATGGGTAAGATTATAGTGTATTAAGAATTCTTCTCCATTGTGTTGGTGGACATGCTCTGGTGAGAAGAGTGTAAATGTATATTTCTCCCTTGGCAACCAGGCCATGGTGCACATGGTAGTTGAACAAAGCAATTTTTAAGGTTGTGAGGATATTTGTGCTCCACTGTCTGTGCAGTGGCACAGAATACTCCCTCCTCTGGTAAACCAAGCCTTCCCTTTATTCAACTAACACGGTGTCTGTCAGTACAGAAGGATCTTGGGGTTGTCCAGCACTGAATATGTATTAAGTGAGGCTTGTATCTAAACCCCAGACGCCCTTTTCATTGCAACAGCAATAGATAGATATATTTATGGCTGTAGCTATAAATAAAAGTAGCAGCCTGCTGTTCCATTTTGCTGCTTTAGGAAAGCTGTCATCCATTCACTTGTATTGGTGCTCAAAAGCAGTACAGAAAGCGTGATGTAAGTTTTGGCTGAAGAAATAAAGGGGGTTTTGATTTGTGAAACAGAAATCTGAAAAAGAGCAAAAGTCTTCAAGTATACACAACTTGCTACAGAGGTTGAAATCATTTCAATTGTGTATTTAGTAAAAAGCAGAATGAGCTACTTAAGAGTGGGGGGTTTTGTGCAGTTAAGAACAGGTTAGCTGAAAGCCAGCAGGGATATTAAAAATCAATTACTTCCTCTCTCACTTTGAGGAATTGAGATACAGGATGTTTTGAGGTCTTCGGAATTTATCTGGTTCTCAGAGTGTGAACTGTTACAAAAGTGTTCCGTACCCATTGATTTAAGTGACTGGTCTCTCTTCTGCTCACATATGTAGCAGCAGATAATTAGCCTTCAAGGATAATGAAAAAGAAGGAAGCATCGGGGAGCAACAAGGATCAGCTCTTTCCTAACAGCTGAGGAGCCACAAGCCAGGTGTAATAGCTCAGCTTGCAGGGATGGAGCCTGTCCAGTCAGAGCCTGTCCCACTGTCCCCAGTGAGGGAGCAGGGCACGGGGATAGGCAGCTGGTGGCAGACCAGAGCCCATGTCTGGGACGATGAGGCATGTCCTAGGTCATGCCAGTAGCTGAGTCAGGATCAGGTCTGGAGAGAGTAACCAGGGTCAGACACAATCTAGTGATTGGTGGGCAAGCCCGCAGTGACAAGGGAGCTCCAAGATCAAGCCTGGAATATAGTCCAAAGGTCAGGGTGTGGAGTGACAAGTACCAGCCAGGTACAGACATGGCTGGAGCTGGAGACAAGTACTTGTGTTGCAGCATAGACAGGGGCTGAAGGCCCAGATCTGAGTTTAAGTGGAACCCCATGTCCCATGTGCAGGCAGGTGGGTGGAGGCTCCCAGTGAGGATGGTGGGGGCCATTTAGGTCTGTTGGTGACATCAGGCTGCTAATGGAAAGTTAGAAGAGAATTATGACAATAAGGCATGAAACAATGCCATCAAGAAGGACTTCCATTTATAACATGCTTGTTCATTGTGTTTTGACTTTTGTCTGGTTTTCATTTAATTTGCTGTTTGTAAATGCAGTTTTATTTGAACTCCTCCTTCATTACATTGTTTTTACTTTTAATTTGACTCTGTACCTTTTGGACAGTGATGCAAATTAATTTTCCTCGATGTAAAGAAGCTACCATTTGTCCAGTTTAACATTTTGAAAGGGTAGCTGTTGACATGTGCTATGCTTTAGGTTTTCTACCATTCTTTTTGATGGGAAGAATCTATTGCTTTCTATACCAAGTCAGACTGGTAAATATTTCTCTCAAGGCTAAATTTTAAGGGTTTGATGCTTACCATCAGACCAAACTTTCCCTTGGGTTCAAAAGTCAGTAATTTCTATTGTGACAGTTATAGATTAAAAAAACCACAACACATTTTAGCTACAGACTTTTCATATACATGGGTTTTGTATAAAAAGCTAGTTTTATTGTGGGTTCTTCTGAACACTTTCAAAATATTTATCTATTAAATAGCTGATCTTAGTAGGAAAAGAAACTTCAGATTCCATGGAAGTAACACTAGTCCAGAATCTCTTGGCATAAGCCATCAACTGACCAAACAAAGCATAATTAGAAGTTGACTTTCCTTGGGTTTTGTTGAGGTTTGTCTCCTTAAGTCCATATACTGTTAAGCTGCTGATTATTTTGGGTTGTTCACTCCTTGGCTGAAGTAATCTGAATCCATCAATTATTTTTATGGAACAAAACCTGCCCCTGTCTGTGACACCACCTTCTTTTTAAAGGAAGTGTTTGTGTTTAGTTAATGAGGAAGTAGGAGAATAGAGAGGTATTTGCAAAAGGCAGCTCGTAAGACAGGTACGAAGTCCTTAGAAATTACTGCATGAATTTCCCAGCGAAGACAAAGTTATGATAAGACGCCTCCAAAGGATCTTCCTGCAACTAGAAAGCCAAAGCTTCATAGTAAGTTTTTCTATGTTGAAGAAGTCTAAAGGTTGTGAAAGTTGTGCTGATTTCTTCCAAACTGAGAAGATCAGAGTTTTGGGTGGTTATTTGAAGTGTCTACCAGCCTAGTGAAACTGAGAAAGAAATGGTAGGAGATGATGAGACAGTAACCAATGGACTTGCCTTGCAGTCATCAGAGGACAGGAGACAGAAGCACCAGCTGAACACCCTGGGGTTCTTCATTGTTGTAGGAGGTAGCGTTGAGCTTTGGGAGAGTTTTTACTGTAAGCTGGGTTTGTTGAGGCTCTTGAGGACTTCGTATGTTGTGGCACAAGGGACTGTGTATTACCATGATGATTATTTTACATTTCTAAAAAAAAAAAGAGGAGGAGAAAAAAAAAGAAGAAAAAAAAAAGAAATAGCCATCAACTGCTATAATTTTACTTTTACAAAGGTTAAGGCACAGGTGAGAGAGTGCTTTGCACAACGTTTCTCTTCCTCTCTTAGTACCTTAGTTCATCTGTTGAACCAAAATGTATGTAAAATATAGCAGGAGCATGGTGTGAAGTTTCTAACTTTCAGTATAGCTCCCACTGAATGTCATTGTTTCTTCTGAAAATCTGCAGTATGGGGAGCAACTTTGACAAGAAACTTTCTGTGTCTTCAAAGTTTTATATAAGTATTAACAAAGGAATGTAACCTGTTTTGTTTTGTTTTGGTTTTTTCTGTTGCAACTGGATTTCTGTTGGGAAAGATGACATCTCCCTTTCCTCCTGCATGCTTATTAAATCAGCAGTCTTTGTAAAGATGGTGTATTGCTGTCGCTTCCAAGGGTTTTGTTTTTAGAAGGGTAAATAATTAAAGAAGGCATAAGTCAAAGGTGAAACAGCCCCAGTAGAAGTGTGGTTGGAATGAGGTTGGAGTTAAGTACAGAACTTAGATGTAGGTTTTGATTATTTTAAAGCTAGCAAAAAAACCCTCAATAGTTAAAAGCATAAAGCACCTTTTTTGAAGACTAAATCCCATTTGACTGTGATGTTTTGTTCTTATGTTCAGGATGGATTTTGGGCAGACCATTCTTGTGAAAAGAAAATTGGCTATATCTGTAAAAGGAAACCCATGTCAGAAGCTCCTGCAGAAGAGGAAACCATTGACACGGGTTGCCAGAGAGTAAGTGCAGAAGAAGCTGCCTGATCTGAATAGGCTGCTAGGAATGATTAAGAGGAGAAAGTGCTACCCTAGGTGACAGATAAAACAGTAAAAATGGTTTCTGTGTTGCATCATCAGAACAGCTGGCATTCTCATTTCTATGGCAGATGGGATAAGTGATACATATGAATAAATCAAGGCTCTGACTGCCATTTGGCTCTAGATGCTCTGTTTCTTTTTCCAGAACTTAAACCAAAACTCAAACCTGTAGTCCCTGCAGCAGGCCATTTTTCTTTGATTGACATTCAAGCCTTCATAAGGGATTTGCCTGTAGCAGCAGTTGCTTTTCAGCTCTGTCTACAAGTTTCTTCAAAATTATTCACAGCAGGAAGGGTGAGCTTGTCTACATACTATTCTCAAAGCTTTGCTGTGGTCTCTGGCAGTGCCCTCTACTTTGAAGAGTTTGTTACAAGTGCCTCAGCAAAATGAATCTGTTGTACTCCTTCTGAACTGCCAGCGGATCTGTTGTTTATTTGGTAATGCTTGCCTTCTGGTAATATAATGCTCAGTAATTCCAAAAAACCTACTGTAATTTGTTATGTCATAGAGGATCTTACTGGGTTTTTTTCTTCCATGAAGAAATTGCCTTTTCTTCCAAGTCTGCTTTACACAGCTGCACAGGAAGTCTTTGATATTTATTCCCAGTATTTGTAAAGGAGTACCCAGGAATTTTACAAATATTTGACTGATGGAGAAGATAAAGGGATCCTAATGCTTATGGATGCTATATTTGCCTAGAGAACTAAGTGCAGACTTGTAGAAAAATGTTTCTCATAAGTGAGAAATTGAAAACCATTAGAAGAAAATTTGTGTGAATTGTGACTGGTCACAACAAACTCTTCCTCTGTAAGCATATTCCTGACTTAACAACATTTGAGTGACAAAACATTAGAAGAGTGTTTCAATGTTAATAATAAACAAACTTGTTTGAGGTGTCATTCCCTTTCTGAAAAGACAAGCTGAAATTTTTTCTCAAGACTGTTCTGATGATTACACAATGCCTATGTGCTAGTTATAATCCTATACTGAGCACTACAGGTGCACAGCAAAGCCTTTCATGCCTTTATAACTGGAATGCACTGATTCCAGTATATGTACCAGTGTAAGTACCATTATATGTGAAAAAATGCTTTATACAACAAAATTTTAAAAAGCTTTGATCCTGCCTGTGTCCAGTCTGACTTTTCCAGTTTGGTTGTTCCTTTGTCTAATGATTAGCTAGCTGACAGTAGCATAAATTTGGGATTTTAATTTAATTTAATTTAATTTAATTTAATTTATTTGTTTAGATTTTTTATTTAAAACATTTTATTAAAAGAGTTTAGAAAAGCTGTAACGTATGTAATCACTTAATGTTTATTTTGACAGGGTTGGAGAAGACATGGTTTTTATTGTTACTTCATTGGAAATACATTTGTATCATTTTCTCAAGCAAATCAAACCTGTGGAAGGCATCAGGCCTTTTTAGCAACTATTGAAGACAGGTATGTAAAAGTGTACTTGCATGAGTGGATCACATGAGGATTTCAGATCTAACATCACTGAATATAAAAATAAAGACTCTGATCTGGACAACAATCTTGCTTGAGAGAACAGCTATCTGTAGGTACAGAACTTCTCACAGTTTTTGCACCTATATTCAAATCCAGGAATTCAGTTTACAGATGAGTGTGAAATCAGTATTGATATAGATGGTTATGTCAAGGAAAAAAAAATTAATTACGTTTTCTGTTTCCCTAATTGTAGTGGCTTGAGGATGGGTTTTACTTGAGTAAGGGGTGCAGAATCCAATTTTGATTATTAAATGAAGATATATGGCTCTGAATTTCTTTCAAATGGTAGTTCAAATGAGCAAGAAGATATAATTTTCACCTATCTGATCTTCTTAGAATTGCACTACCTTAAAAAAATATTTAATGATAAACCAATTAATGCTAGAAGTGCTTGGTACCTGAAAATCTATCACAATTCAACCAGGGTTCTGGGTGTGCTAAATTTCTGAACAATTGGTGCACATTACTGAATGTGGGTTATTGGGAAAATAAAAGTTAGGATTAAGAAACAAATCTTATTTTGCTTGCAGTTGACTTGATGCTTTACACTTTCTCTTATTTGTTTATAACCTAAATAGATATGTTCTAGTGTGAAAGCTCTAGCTGTCATGAATAATGATAGCTCTCTAAAAGTAGGTAGTACAGCTGTCATAAAAACCGTTTAATGTGGTCTTCAGACTATACCTTGTTAAGTGGAGACTTCTTTTAATATTTGTTTTGATTTCTTAAGAGCTGTTAGTTTAAACACCATAACGAACTATGACAGGCTTTACCTCTACATAGGCTTATTTCCCAAACATAACATTTCTAGTGTGATTATTTGATCTATTTTGTTGCGTTCCTTAGTTTGATAATTTAGTATCTGACTACTCTAGACTCTACTTTCAATATTTCTTCAATAATGCTGAGATTCCTTTTGCAGTTTGGGATTTGCCTGAAACAAGAAGCCATTAAAATACAAGGGTACTAGAAACTCTCACAAAATAAAATGGTATAACAAATAAGTCACATCAGGTTTCTTCTTATCCACCAGTTTCATGTCATTCCATGATTTCTTTACTGGACATCTGAAGAGAAGGCAGAATACTCTGATATTGAAGTTCACAAAGTATCTTTTATGTGATGTTTTGTTATGTGCTTTGCTCAACTAAATCCATTCAAGCTACACTTGCAGGAAGGTGCAGTGATAATTCTGAGAATATACCAAGCCTTTTACAACTTTTAAAAATAAATTTAATAGTATTAATTTAATGGCTGTGATCTTTTGAACAGATATGAACAAGCTTATCTGACTAGCCTGGTTGGGCTGAGAACAGAAAGATTCTTTTGGATTGGACTTTCAGATATAGAAGAAAAAGGAACATTCAAGTGGGCTAATGGCCAATCTGTCTTATTTACACACTGGAATTCTGAAATGCCTGGTAGGTATGGCTCTATACTGTTTAATGAGCTCAGTGCCCAAGATATATTGCTCAGTACCTGAGATTTTTTTACTTCGTTCCTTGCCCTCACTTGAGGGTATAATGAGCCTCTTTAACCAAGTAGTAAGCGATATGACAAGAGCGAATGGCCTCAAGTTGCTCCTGGGAAGGTTTAGACTGGATATTAGGAAGCATTTCTTTCCAGAAGGGGTTGTTAGGCGTTGGAATGGGCTGCCCAGGGCAGTGGTGGAGTCCCCATCCCTGGAGGTGTTTAACACAGCGCTGAGGGATATGGTGTAGTTGGGAACTGTCAATGTTAGGTTAATGGTTGGACTGGATCATCTTCAAGGTCTTTTCCAACCTAGATGATTCGGTGATTCTGTGACTAATTACTCTCAATCTGGCTGCTTTCTCAAGCATGTAGTGCTGTTGCTAACTTCCTGCTTAGTGCTGGAATGTTTTTAACATGAGCTTGGGAAGAAAATTTAAACTGAGATCACGTTTTTGATTTGTGTCTGTTCTGGAAAAGTCTGTGTCTGTACTACTCTGGAAGAGCAACCTCTGCATGCCCTGCTTGCAACTTCTGCCTGTGTAGCCATATCTCATAGTACACTTGCTCATTGCATGTTTTGAGGTGTGTGAGATCACAGCATGCATGAAGCATCTCTGCCAGAGAAAATGGGATTGTAGGGAAGGACAAGAGGGCCAAGGGACTATTTGTATTTAATCTTTTTTAGTTAATATCTTTGCTAAATTAATTATGATTTCCTTATTTAATAAGTTTTGTTGATTAAAACATTTTTTTCTGTTCTAATAAAAATATGGGAGTGGGAGGTCATTTAATCACTGACATGATCACATCAGAAAGGGGGTGATAATCAGCCTTCAAGGTACTGGCATTTACCTTTCAGGGAGATCTTCTGATTCTCTGTTATTTCAGTGCCTAAATGCTGATTTGAATGTGTCAGGTGAAGTGGTAAGGCTAGGCAGATTGTGAAGCCAATATTAGGCCTATATATAGCAAGTTTATTTTTGAAAATCATAGTCAAATTGGACAAATTTGAGAAATTAGCTCTGACAATATCTTTAGTTTTAAGGGAGAATTTGTTGTATCACAGCTTATGATGTTGCTAGTGTCAGTCACTGGAAGTGGTTGGATGTGAGGCACAATTCAGTATCTCAGATGTGGATGAACCACAAATTTTTTGCTTTTTTTTATGAATTAGAGTCATAGAATCACAGAATGGTTTGGGTTGAAAGGGACATTTAAACATCATCTAGTATCTGCCCCCTGCCATGGGCAGGGACATCTTGCACTAGATTATGTGGCTCAAAGCCCTGTCCAACCTGGCCTTGAACACTTCCAATGATGAAGCATCCACAACTTCTCTGGGCAACCTGTTCCACTGTCTCACAACCCTCATAGCAAAAAAATTTCTTCCATATGTCCAATCTAAACCTACTGTATTTAATTTTTTAAAACCATTTCCCCTTGTCCTGTCACTACAGGCCCTGGTAAAAAGTCTTTCTCCATCTTCCTTATAAGCCCCTGTTATAGATTGAAAGGCCATGATAAGGTGTCCCCTTGTCTTCTCCAGGTTTAGCAACCCCACTTCCTCAGTTTTTCTTCATAGGAGAGGTGTTCCAGCCCTCTGATAATTTTCGTGTACCTCCTCTGGACCCACTCTAACATTAGAAACATTTTTGACTCTGTACAGACTTAATTTCTGTCAGGATAGAGTATGAAGTTTTCTAAATTCATACGACACGCTAAATGTTGCTTTTGTGCATTCCTGTTTACAACCAGGAAGAAAGCCAGGCTGCGTTGCGATGAGGACTGGAATTGCAGGTGGATTATGGGATGTAATAAAATGTGAAGAAAAGGCAAAGTTCCTATGTAAAGTGTGGGCAGAGGGAGTAACACTTCCACCTGTTCCTACAACAACTCCTATTCCCCGGTGTCCAGAAGGCTGGGATTCTAACAGTCGTATTAGCTTCTGTTTCAAAGTAAGTATGTTACTTGTTTCTGCATTAATGTAGTTTCTATTTGCTGCACATAAGCTTATTCACAGATTATACGTAGAGATCTTTTTCCCTTCTATTGAAATGGTCATGGTTTTATTCATTCCATTAAAGTCTGACCTTCAGCTCTGCTGTAATCTTAATTTCTCATTAAGATAAAAGTGCCTTCCTCCTAGTTGTTGTCTTGCAGCAGATACTCCTGCCAGCAATGCAGTTAACTAACTTGGCTTAAAGACAGTCATACTAAGCCTGTTTCATGAGGCAAACACACAAAACCCCTATATTTGAAGTTTCTGTAAACCCCATAGAATGAGTTAATTGTAAATGAATTGCTTTTGTGCAGCTGATGTTTCTTGATCTTGTGATCTATATCATCTGTTTTGTCTGATTGCAAAATGCTCTCTTTAGCCTTTTTCAAGAGGAGAGCAGAAGAAGACATGGATTGAATCTCAAGAGTTTTGTCGAGCTATAGGAGGAGATCTGGCCTCCATTAATGGTAAAGAAGAACAGTATGTGATATGGCGTTCTATTGCGTGAGTATCTGTAGTGTGGTCACCTGTTCACTTTAATTAGCCTTTTGATCTTTCTAAAGTATTTAATTTTAGGTTTTTACTTCATTGTATGCCAGTCTGGATTCATTATCTCTACCTGTGTCAAACACAGTAAAAAAGTAGAGCTGATGAAATAGCAGGACTTGTATGACTACTGGCCATCATGCCAGAAGCTGATGCTAAAATGAGATTGGCAAAATATCTAGTTGAGGCAATATTTATCGTGTGATGTAAAAATATTTACTGTGGATTTGAGGATATTATAAAATTACCACATATGCCAGTTGTTTTCACATAAGCAAGTGTACAAATAGGATAACAGTTGTGATATAAGTCTGGTCAATATGTTGATTGTCTGCCATTATTATGAACTAATCAGGAAGTAGAAGCAACTTCAGATTAATTTTTTCCTACACAGAGAATGTAAATAAGATTGTCCCTGAACTGTAAAATGCATTATGTGAGATTTCTAAATGAGATCAAATAAAAAGGTAAGACTTGCAATATGACCTGTATAGATGGGGCTTAATGAACTTGTACATCTCTGTCTAACTAGGAAGCAAGACTGAAACATGACAGACTTGCAAATTGCTATAACCGCACCAGAATTCTGGCTACGTACTTATAGTAAGGAAGAAGTCTCAGATGCCAACTTACCACAAATTGACTCAATAAATTCAGATAAATCAATAAATTTTGTCTGCCTGTAGACAAGAATTAATTTAAGGTGCTATATTTAAATATAAAATGATTCAACTGCAGCAAGTAACTTTGCATTTGGAAACTGTAAGCACCTTTAGAGAGAAAATGGAGAGTTGATAGATAGAGCAACAGTAGCTACTGAACCATTATACAAAAGTATTAAGCCATCTTATTTTCAGGAGTTGGATTGGATCTGGACATTTGCTTTGTCAGTATTTCAATCTGAGTTAATGTATAGTGATAACAGCTAGGAGTGGTTGCATTTTAATTAATTTCCACCCTGGTTGTTATTGGTTTTAGAGCAGTTGTTGTAAATGATAGATAATTAAAAATATTGTAATGCCCTTATTAGTTTAGGGTTTATGTTTAAACTTCTTATAAATGAGATATATATATTTTGTTTTTTTCTTTAGGAACAATGGATATTACCACCAGCATTTCTGGATGGGCTTATATTACTTGAATCCTGATGATGGCTTTGTTTGGAGTGATGGATCTCCAGTGAGTGATTTAATTTTCCACAGCTGTTATTTTGCATTCCCTGAGATCCTCAAATGTGTGTGGTGTATGTGTTTCTGTGTAATTTTATGCTTAATCATAACCCTCTTCTGTATTGTGCTTTCTGTAGGAGAGCTTATAGATAGCAATTTCATGGCTTGATTTTATTTTATTTTTTTTTGCTAAAACATACTGATTTTTGATAAGAACATGTGCATTGAATCCAAAAGAAAATGAAATTCATGTAGACTAAAAGGATGTTCTTATAAATGCAAAGATTTTTTGAGTAAAATAGACGATTTTTAGTATTTCTCTTATTTCTTAATTAGATCTTTATATGAAATGGCCTACATTCCATGGAGCTGAACATTGCTTACATTCCATGACAGTTGTTTTATGTCAGTATGACTTGACTGTACTTTAGACTAAGATATAAAGCTGTAGAAACAAAAGTGGTTTTGGAGATGTGGGTGTATTTCATACAAGGTTGGTCAAAATATATTGATGGAAGTTTACCATACAGAAATTGAAATTTTAGCAGTATAGCAGTAATATTTCTGTGGGAAAAATGCCAACATTTTTGTGTGTCTCAATAATACCCCACTATTTTACTCATATAGGATATTTGCTTGATTGAATATTAACATGTAGAATGCCCCATTGTTATTAGATTAATTTTACAGAATTTACATCCTATAAAAAATGTCAATATTTTTCCAAGTGTGATCAGAAGTAACTGTTATCTAAGCTGCAGTTCAGTTACAATCTGAAAAAAAGTTTGAAATGTCAGCATTTGCATGGGGAGATTCTAGTTTCCTCTTATCTAAGTTTTTAAACTGGCAGTAGGAACAAGTTGTAGGTCTGTGGTTTGATGCTGTCTCCTCCCTTTCTCCATTATTTTCTTTCTATATAACAGAATCTTCACAAAACCTTTTCTGTCATAGGTGCGGTATGAAAACTGGGGCTTTGGAGAACCCAATAATTATCAAGGCATTGAGCTTTGTGCAGAGATCAGTGGCGATTCCAGCATGCTTTGGAATGACAGGCACTGTGATTATCTATATGGATGGATTTGCCAGATAAGAAAAGGTATTGTTTACTCCTGTGTATTAGTATAATAAGAAAAGATTCTCAGTTGATTTTTTCCCTAACTTTAAGAAATAAAAAATTTCAAAACATGTTTATCAGAATAATTCCCTGTGGAACGTGAAATATCAAAGTAGTATAAGGCTTTCCATGTCTTTGATGTATTTAAAGATGCAGAGCCTTTGGTGCCCTGCTGGGACTTCTCACTGATCTTTCTCTATAATTTCAGAAGGGGAAATGTGATACGTGAAAAATAGGAAATGTTACTTTGAATATTCACATTCACTTTTGACTTTTCATTAAAGTTCATACCTTCTCCAAAAAATCCTATTTTGGATTTTTTTTTTCTGAGTTGATTTTTTAGTTATTAGAAAACAGTTTTCGAATCAGTTCACATACTTGTATTTTTATGTGTGAAAACCCCCTCCTTTACTTGGCTCACGTACTGTTTTATCAGATAAATGAATCTGTAGTTGCAAGATAGAGCCTGGTTTTAGGATAGTTTATTTGGCTTTGACTGGATTTCATATTCACATGTTGAGTTCTTGCTAAATTCTCTTGAGATCTGAGTTTGGATGCTTTTTATTTTTTGAAGACATCAAGACAAATATTATAATTTAGGGAAATCTTGAGTTTCACAAGCAGTGCATCTACCTAAGTTTGAGTAGTTTAGAAAGTGCTCATTTAAACATTTTACCACATTCTTACCAAATAAAGATGCTGCATTAGTTTTTTAACAATAAAGTATGAGCCCTACTTTATATTGGTAAAATAATTTCTTAGGCAGAGAATTTCTTATTAAATGCCAGTATTGCTGAGATTATATTTTAGCACAAAATCAGTTGGTAAACCTGTAAAGACAGAGATCTCCTGTATTAGAAACTGTTTTTCTAGATCCTAATGACGCCATCCAGGATGCCATCTCCATGATGACATAGGAAAAACAAACAGTAGAACTCTTTAGCTGAAGCCGCCTTTTCAGACAGGACCAGTTAATTTCTTGGGATTGTTTCCAGTGAGCTTTTATCTAGGGAAATTTTTAAGATCCAGATAGAAGTTCTTCTCAGCCAGAGAAAGATACTCACTCTGTAGTAGTTAGGGCACCATGGAAGAAGATAACCCAGCCTGCATTCCTGCTGCCTCTGATTTAAGCCAAAATTGGTGTATAAGTGACCTAAGGAAGGGAGGGAGAGGCAGATACAGGACTGTCTTAATAGAGTTAATGCTTTGGGAGATAAGCTTTTCTGCATCCAGTGAATACCAAAAATAATTACTTAATTCAGGTAAATTCAATGGTATTTCATAATACCTAGCACATAAGGAATAGCCCCAGGAAACAAAAATATGTATTGAAATTTGAATAGAATTGAATTTAGTTCCTTCTAGTTTTTGGGATTAAATCCACTGATAACTGTAAAATTCTAAGTTAATAGAAAAACGTGCCTATCAATCATAGTAAATATTTTCTCTTACAGCAGGAAGTGTACAATCATGATAATTATCTTTCTCTGACAGGTGCAAGTGTAAAGCCTGAACCAACTGAATCTCCTGCACCCAGTAAGTGTTACTGCTGTTACCATTTGTGTGTGTGCATTTAAAAGCATTATTAAAATTTTACTAATGAGAATGTCTTGTATCTCAGAAACAATAGTTAGCTTACCATTTATTTTACAGAATACAAGACTACTGAGGATGGATGGATTACACATGAAGACAAACAATATTATTTCAGCACAGAGAGTGTTCCTATGGAAAAAGGTCGGGAATTCTGCAAAAGGAACTTTGGAGACCTTGCTGTCATTGAGAGTGAAAGTGAAAGAAAGTTCCTCTGGCGATATGTAAGAAAAATCATTAATACTATGGAATAAATCATCCAAAATAAGTGAACATGGGAACAAATCCTTTTCACACTGGTGTTCTACTTACAAGTTTTATGATAGTGAGAATACAGTAGCATTAAGACAGATTAATACAAAGAACAAACTGAAGGCTTTTTTTAGACTGTTTCATAGCTGAGATGAGAACAATTTTGGTTTGGTATTTTGTATAGAAATAAGCACATTAAGCATGAAACAGATCATTATCTGCTTTTTCTCTTTCATGTGGCAGTTACACCACATTATGTGCAACTGGTAATGTGCTAAGGTAAATCTTCACGCTTTGAAATTGATCTGTGGCTTCATTTTGGCAAGAAGTATTGTGAGCTATGATTCTGTATGGTGGGTGAGTTAACTGAAAGTAAAGTTTAGCAGTAGATAAGATATCTTGAGTTTAAGTAGTGGATCAAAGCAGATAGTAACATATGCAACAATCAGAACATTGGGTTTTGATCTTATCAGTGTGTATCTGGGATGTAGTCTGCCTAGCAGCCTCATTTTGGTCCTCAAGTTTGTTCCTTATCCTTCTTCTTGTGGGGAGAATATAATTATGCAAGAAGAACAATTTGAGGCATGGATTATGCCATGAGAAAGAGCCTTTAAATGATATTTCCTAGGTGGCTGGGGTTGGTTGCCTGTTTATACTCTCTTGAGGTCAACTTCTTTTAATCAGGAATGGACTTAAAAGTCAGATTTGTACTACACAGAAATTTTCCTGAGCTGGTTGAAGAGTGGTGGTGAGATCAAACAAGGGCCTATATCAATTTATAGGAATCAATTGTAGGAAGGCTTGTCCCTTGTGAGAAATTTGTCAGATGATGTCTACTGCAGAGGCTGCACAAGAGGTGCTGATTTTAGTGATTTTCAAGTAAGATTGTGAGAAGTGTTGATATAGTGACCACACCTTTTGGCCAATGGTGAAGTTTGACTGTGCACTGTCAGCTGTGAGCTGCTCTAAGTTAAATGTTGTAGCTAGAGAGTATAGCAGTTCATATCCTCTGCCAGTCAGACATATAATACTCATTATTAACGTAATAGATTCCTATGATAAAAAGAGGACATTTATATAATTTTGATCTCTATATTCTAGATCTTGAAAAACGGGAAAGAGGATTCATATTTCATTGGTTTACAACTGAGTGTTGACCAAAGAACAAGGTAGGACAGCTAGAAAAATCAAACTTGCATTGTGCTTTAAAATAATCTACTGACTGGAGCAAAAATAATGAAGTGCTTGAATGAAATAATGGCCTACCAAAACAAATGAGAATCTTTTTCCTCTGAATTGCATTGTGTGGGAAGCTCATGCTTAGTATTTTTGATTATGAATGTGTAAAAATACCTGCTTTTTTTTTTTTTTT